GGAATCGACATCTGAATAATGTATATTCTTCTCGAAGCATAAAGCCAGCAACTACGATATCTCTGATTGTGCTCTTTTATAACTTGTAAAGTGAAATGTAGTAAACTTTTTATAAACGCATTTGAATAGGTTATGATACTAACAAGCATAATGATGTGTTAAAATAAACAAGAAAACGGATAATTTTTTGAAATATCCAGATGGAAGTAATAAGTAGTCAAGATATTCAAGAAGGCCGCTTTTTCCTCGACTGAAATTCAAACTCTCTTACAGTTGAATGGCTTTATATACAGAAATTCCTAGTGCAATCATTGGTATACACTTCCACTTATGATTATGATGAAGTTTTATACTGTGAGCTGGATGGTTTGGTCATGGAATTTTCATCGTTCTTCTGAACGACATCATCTGGACAAACTTCAGATGCTGAGCTACAAATCTTCTCCACTACTCTTACTAACAAGCCCAATCCTAGTACGAAGCATCTTTTGTTATCTTACATTTGGTATTTGGAATACTTTCAACTTAATTGGTCATTTTACTGAGTATGATTCTTAAGGGATAGAAATATAGACGTTTTTATAACATTCCCAGTAAAGCTGAAGTTAAGCAAATGGGATGATTTTTGAATGTCGTAGTTTGCATCGATCATTTTGTGCATAAGGTAGCACGTCTACCAATAGCATTTGAAGATTATTAAGCGATATATATACTAAATTGAATTTAGATATTTAGTCTTAATGTTAATTGTTCACTATGAAACCTAAAGATTCGAGGTTCGATCCCCTGTGGTGAGGTCATGGATATGCATTCCTGCTGAGAAGTCTACTGTTAAGAAGAATTAGTTGTCAAGCCCCTCTAAACTTTTAATGATGGTCTAATCAAGATCACTCTGTGGGGTAAACTATGAAATCTCAACAATCTTTACAACTCTTCCACACTAATAAAACGACATTCAAATTCAAATCAAAATCTTTCATTAAGAAAAGTAAAAATTGAATAATAAAAAAACAGTGAATAAACCAATTATCCTAGGTATTATAACTTTTGGCCTTATGCTCTATTCATGTATAACGTAATGATACCGCCAATTAGAGAACAGTGATTTATCGACCGGACCAATCACGCATAAACCCTGTACGAGCAGTCTAGAGTCTTTATCGGTCCTTCTCCCTGCCTGTTAAATCCAGAACACCAATCTCCGCCTCCATGATATGAATCATGTATTTCAAACATACTGGGTTTATATACACCAGCCAAACAGACCACATCTTACCATAAAATAGGAAACAACATTTGTACAAGATTTAACCAAATATGGCTGTAAATATGGGAGATAGTAATTAATAGACTGGGTATAACTCAAGAACGGTAATTCGTATAATAATAGTCTATGGGTCAAAATAAAGCTTATAATAAGCAGAACATGAATATGCATAGTCTAACTACCTAACAATTATACAATAAGAATATATGTATCGTATTGATCCAGAAATAGATCCCAACAGTTACCACTCATAATTCTCGTCAGGATATAACACTAAGTTTTTAACATTTGATGATATTGAATCCAAAGAGATATTCCGGAAATGAATTTTGAATATCTAATTTTGTTTTTTTTTTCCCAATAGGATTAAAAGATATACCACTTCGTACTTCTGATACAAATATGACAACAGATGAAGAACTTGATATGGAATGTGCATTATCTGGTGTATCACAATTTTTCTATAAAAATTTAACTACATGTACATTGGGTCAATATGCACAAATACCAAATGATACAGATATGTTAAGAACAGTGAATACACCTGAATCATTGAGAGCATGTTATGTAAGGTATGTGTATAGTATTCTTGTAACATTATTGATATGTTATACTGAAGTAATTCATCGACTAGTCTTACAATTATGAAAATAGTAAACACTTTGTAACTATACATAAATTAAACAGGAGAGACTATAATTTTTAGACGAACCAATCAGATATGAGATAACGAGTATCTGATTTTGGCGCGAAATTCATCCATTCATTTAGCTAAATAAAGTTTTGACATTATAACTAATGTCATTTCGAAATAAAAACACTAATTCTAATTCCTCATACTGGTTTATAACCTTCATTTAGTTTTCGTTAGTAGGTGGACATCCTCAAGGTTAGTTTAGCGTCTCTCAAAGGTCATCCATAAACTATAGGCTCGTTATCAAAGAGGTAAAATATCTGATTGTTCTCATAAATTTCTTTTATCAATTTTAAGCAAATAAATTTGGAATTGATAGCAATACGTGGCTGATAAGTTTGTTTATGGGAAACTGGATAATACAACTTCCTTAAGAGTAACGTTTCTTGTTGAATGTTATATATTTAGATAAAACTACTTAATCGTACAAATCCACTTAGTGTTGTTTGCATGTATCATCCTATTGATGTTTAGGACTGCAATTGATCACTCTCTTATTGACATATGTGCATCCTGTGTGGATTGCCTTGATATTGCCTTAATTAACAGTCTTTATAAGCAAAGATGGATAGTGGCTAGTAGTGGAATCCAGTTTGACTTGCATTTCGTCTTGTTTGGGACTCGTCAGCTGTATGTACCTGTATCTCAAAATTGATATTCACATATGTCGACAAGAGACTGATCAATTGCAGTCCAAACACAACAATTAGAAGATACAAGTAAAGAATACCAAGTGAGTTTAAACTTCACTTCATTGCACGAGCAGGTGGCTATCAGAATTCAGTAGCTAAGTGGATAGCGCAATGGCGTTTGAAGTGAACGGTACTGAATTCAAGATCCAGAGTAAACATCAACTCTGAAATGCAGGAAATATCGACCTGACGAATCTCAAATAGGACAAAATGTTCATCAAACCGGATTCCACTATTAGCTACGATCTATCTTAGTTTCATGGTATGAAATAAATAGGAGTCTCATTTACTGAATGATTAACAAAACATGATGTAAATCAAAACGAAGCAATGGAATTTTAAAAAATGAAAGTTGAACTTTGTATTCATTAACTTAAACATCAGAAGGCAATGCAGTTGACTAATGGTTCACAATGTAATAGTTACTAATGAAACGCTACTGTAGGACATATATTCATGTGAAAATTTTTTGCATAGTAACAATTATTTATGCATTAAAATACAAACGATCGATAAACCCTTCTTACACTGAACTTGAGACTTTAAACTTATAAGCATGAACCATGAAGGAGTTTCAAGTTAGGCTGAAGCATACACGTATTGTTTCATAGTTACTTTCAAAGTTACAAAACTAAAGTGCCAAAACGTTGTTCTTTCGATATTCCTAGTTATTGTTCAGGAAAATAATAACATTGTTGGGATATATTTTCCCCCAGGACAAATGCTCTACCACTGCATGTAATTATGGTGCATATAGTATACACATTACTAAAAAAGACTATTGCTAATGTGTCTTTAATTTTGCAACGGAATGGTCTCGTGGAATGTATACATTTGGTTGATAGATTTCAACTAGGATAAAATATGCACCATATATTTCGTCACTAATTCATAAGTGAATTCTGGTGGTTTTGTGGTTACTCAACAAAGAAATTTAATCGGATAGTTTTCATTGTCATTCGGGACAATCTCATTTCAGCTTATCTCATATTAGAAGTCATATACTATCTAGCTGAACTACATATCTTCCTCATCATTTCAAATATTCTATGTTTGTGATAAGTGAACTGTGAAAAGATTAAGGGAAGATCATTAAATACACATATGCCACTCTACTCATACTGTAATGAACGAAAACACTAGCGGGGAAAATCAAATGTTTTTGAGGCCAGACTCTAATTTGTGGACGACCTTTGAACGAATCTTAAGCGACCCACAGAATATTAGCCAATCAGTGAACAGTAAGTATAGAGTAAAAATATATTATGCAAAATCAAGAAAATAAAGTGGATACACTTCTTATACGTGGTTCAAAAACTTGTCAAAGTTAGAAAGAGGTTCAGAGGTTCTAAAATCCTCATGCATGCAATACAGGAAATCATCCATACGGCTACAGAATAGTCGGCCTCTAGAGCCATGATAAAGTCTCAAAAACCCTTACAGCCTGACCACATAGCTTCAATATTGTTTATGTGCACTTCGGTTGTTGAGTGCACAAAATGCTACTTGTGGATAACGACACGACGCACATAACTAAGCGTATTTAGGAGTCTGTGCGCTCTCCAGTCATCCGTATTTATTGTAGTACCTGGCTGAAGCCAGTGTTACTGTTCTTTTATTATCCAGTTCGCAATAACTGTCATAATTTGCCTTAGTTAGAAATTATATATGAGGTTTTCATCACGAATTGACATCAACTATAATGCCAGAAATTTATTTAGCCAAATGAATGAAAGGCTTTCGTGCCCAAATCCGAGATCTATTATCTTATACCTGATTGATTCGTCCACAAATTATAGTCTTGCCATTTTATTTGTTATAGTCGCTCAGTTATCACGTTTTTTACAAAATTCCTTGTGAATCCATCGTACGTTAGCATTAAGCACTGAAGTTGACACCGTAACCTTGAAATCCTTCAAACGCCTCTGATTGGCTCGTCCATAAATTAGAGTCTCGCCTGTTAATAAATCATCTCAGAATTCATTATTCTTTCATTTCTACACCGATCATTCTCTGTTCTCGTTCTCTTTTCTTTGATCTTCATTAACCTTCTTCCTTCAGATATTTCACTTTCGATTGACGATACATACTACTTATATCTATCGATATCAGTAATACACATCACTATACCACAATACTAAAAAGATTGATATGACAAAATATAATTCATTGATTGATTGATTGATTGATCAATAATTTAGAAAGTTCTTTTGACTGGGTATATCATGACAATATATATATACATATATTTATGTACATAATCGTAACTAATGTATTTGGCCTAAATCAATTTATTTGTGATATGTGCTTGTTATGTTCTTGTTTTGTTTTGTTTTGTTTTCTTTCTTTCTTTCTTTCTCCTTTCAATATTGTTAATCAATGTTGTTAAGTGTTTTTGTTTTTCTTTCCTTAATTTCATTTGGATAGAATGCGTCATATCTATCGAATGATTGAAACCGATCGTATAGGTAAAGCAACATTATTGAAAAATATACAGTATGCAATAAACGTTATGGAAAATGCTTATATAGCAGAGAAACGGTAAGTTCTATGTACATAAATATTATGATGAAACCTCTTGATATCATGGATATTATCCGTTATGATATGATCATCTAATAATTGGTCAGTTATACTTAATTGTTATTGAATACTATGAAATTATATCTATTGATTTGGTCGTTATGTAATAATCAGTAATCAGCTATTTATACTAATTAAAGTTAGACTAAGTGAATTGAGACCAAGGGAGACAATACTAGTGAAATAATGCAGGATGAACTTAATTACCATTACAGTATTTTGTTTATTCTTCAGATAAACCTATTGTATCGACTATTAGCTGAGTGATGTTTTGGATTGAAGTGGTCCAGTGATAAACTTAAACATTTGTATAGTTGAGATCATGAGTTAATTGAAGCTAGACTACTATAGAGAACCTGGAAGCACTAAAAGGCCGTTTCATCCTATTTTGGAACTCGTCAGAAGTGTGCATCCACGATCCTACCTCGCGAGATTCGAACACAGGACCTATCGATCTCTAGACCACTGAGCCGGTATCCGACGTTGTTCATGTCTAAATTCAACTAATTCACGAAATAGAGCTGAATAGTCCCATAATAGGACAAAACAACCGTCCAGTGCTTCCAGGCTCTCTTTGGTGGTCTAGCTTCAATTGACTCATGATCTCAACTATTAAAATATACATAATCATTTGTCTTTCCAAGACATTAACATAATGATAATTACATTGTTAGCTTAAAAATTACATCTCAACACTCACTTGTATCTAGTATTAAGAAGGAACAATTGTAACTGTATTAACACATCATGGTAACAAAGTGGTGATCAAGTTAAGTAGGTCGACAGGACAAAAAAGATATTGAACTATTGTTCCAAAAGTTTTGCAGAAACTTCCTATTTGATCTTTGCTAAAATCACTAGTATATGGAATCAGTTAAGGGATGTTTAAAAAATGTCTCATTGAGGCATCAATCATCATCATCATCATCATCATCATCATCATCATCATCATCATCATCATCATCATCATCATCATCATCATCATCATCATCATCATCATCATCATCATCATCATCATCATCATCATCATCATCATCATCATCATCATCATCATCATCATCATCATCATCATCATCATCATCATCATCATCATCATCATCATCATCATCATCATCATCATCATCATCATCATCATCATCATCATCATCATCATCATCATCATCATCATCATCATCATCATCATCATCATCATCATCATCATCATCATCATCATCATCATCATCATCATGAAAACGTTTGTTTGTTAAATTATTCTTATCCATTAATGTAGAGTAATTAAAAATTAAGCACAAATGATTCATTCTCAATATCATATGTTTATTGATTTCATTTTGACTATTTTCGTTGCTGCATTCAATAGACGACTAAGTTTTTGATCTCGGATTGCATCTTTAATGATGTTGACTTGAATATTGAGAAAATGAGTAAACAAATGACTTTCCAGTTGTTGTTTTTTGTTGTATCTGTGTTAGTTGTTCATTTTCGAATTAGATTTCAATAGCCTTTGGATACAAACAATTACTTAATTGCTTACTTACTTACGCCTGTTACTCCCAATGGAGCATAGGTCACCGACTAGCATTCTCCATCCCACTCTGTCCTCGGCCTTCCTTTCAAATTCTATACAATTCTTGTTCATTCTTCTCATGTCTGTCTCCAATTCTGGGCGTAATGTGTTCTTTGGTTTTCCTCTTCTCCTTTGGCCTTGAGGATTCCAAGTGAGGGCTTGCCTTGTAACGTAGTTGGGTGGTTTCCTCAATGTGTATCGTATCCACTTCCAGCGGATACAAACAATACTTACGTAAAATTTCGAATAACGTAACTTTTGAAAAAAATGCTTTTTTTGTTTACAGACGTATTCGTGAAGAAGAAGAAGATTTGTCAGAAGCTGCAACAGAATATGTACCAGATGAAGTACGTAATTGGCTTGCTTCAACATTTACACGTACTGTACAAAGTGTTGGGATTGGTGAACAAAAGCCTAGATTTCGTAGTGTTGCCAATGCAATTAGAGCTGGAATATTTGTTGAAAGGTAAATTTAAGTAGTTTTTTGTTGTTGAGTGTTTACATCTTTCTAAACATTATAATTTGAACTTCATTTTTTGGCAAAAACAATCCGATAATGGAATTTATGTAATAATCAATTTTATGACTGTATAATAGGATACTTTTGTTTGAGAGTATTTTAAAAGGAACATTGTAAACTATGATTCTAAGTGACAGTTATTTATCTATTTGAACACATAAATATTGGTACAAAGAGTCACCAAATATATATGCAACACATCAATCATTCGATTTGTGTAGGATCCATTATACTACCGGGTGTCTAAACCGAAGCAGTTCGTTTCCTAGGGGGCCACACCGCGAACCTTCGACCCAAAGGTCTGAACCACAAGGCAGTGGAGCAACATTAGGCGATGCAGTCACATGGTAGCCGGTGACCAATGTTTGTTTCATACGCCTTTTGTTTCCTTCAGGATCCTGGAGCCCATATGAACGATTGGTTTGGAATCAGGGTTTTCCAACTCCTCTAGGTGAATCCTCCATATCCACCAACCCGGCTAATGCACTGGACATTCACTTTTTGTTCTTTCAATTTCGTAAACAATATCCGTGGTGCGTGAACATAGTGAGTAGGAATTTCATGGTAGTGGTTGCACGCACGTGGCCATATGAGAACGTTTGGAGAGGGATAGCTGACTCTACCCACTCTCGACCGTACCCGAGCATTTGGGGGGGGGAGTAACAAAAAGTATAAATCATTGTAGGAGACTTAGTTTTTATGGAAGTAAAGCTCATGGTAAACATTTTCTGACACTTCAAATAATCCATACTAAGTATATCACATGTATACGTTGAGAACCTCATTCGTTTTCAATAAACTCCGTGTGTTGGTTTGATTTAGTTGCTTGAAAAAAATACTTGACGGGTGTTTTCCGTTGTTTTTTACTGATAGAAACATGTAGTGTATTCGTGTTATGCACTAAGTACTATGCAGATAATTTAATGTAGTCGGCAGATACCTCTGTACTCAATCTGCAGTTTGGCTGATGATCATCAACAGGGAATGTTAGAAAGGTTGACGTGATTGATTACCTTAAGAGGACCTGAATTTTAAGAAATTAATATTTCAATGATAGACTTCATCACTAAGTCAATTGAGTTTCAAATGATCTACGCTAGGACTGAAATGTTTGCACGAATCAGTCACTGGTTAAAATAGATATATAATTCGGATCATTAAAATTACTCACTACAATATTACGGAAAACATAGAAGGAATTAAGTTTTTAGATTTTTATCATCCAGAAAACGATTTAAACTCAATAAATGATAATGCAAAGTAAGTTAGACATTAACATCGTTGGATATCGGTTCACTAGTCTAGAGGTTAGGTGGGTTTCCCCAGCAGTGCGCATCCACAGCTACGCACACGAGACTCAAACCCAGGACCTTCGGTCTCGCGCACGAACGCTTAAAATCCAGACCACTTAGTTGGCATTTAACAGTGTTAATGTCTAACTTTAATTAACCCATGATCTTGTGCAACCCTACATCCATTGTCTAAGGTGGATAACTTTCTCATACCCGATACGAGTGTGGATGGCTTTCCCGGAGTTCTAGTGAGAAGCCATACATCGATTGAAGTTGAACGTTAACACTGTTGGATGCCAACTAAATGGTCTTGAGGTTAAGCGTTCGCGCGCGAGACTGAAGGTCTTGGGTTCGATTGCAGAGTTCGGAATTGTTGATGCGCACTGCTGACGAGTCGCATACTAGGACAAGACGGCCATCCAGTGCTTCCAGGTTTTCCATGGTGGTCTAGCTTGGATCGACTTATGAATTCAACTATTTAAAAAAATTTCATTGTTTGCAATATTTTTCTGTTCATTCAGAATTTATCGTCGTATGTCAAGTTGTTCCAACCTTATTGTTCCACCAAATGTACTTCTATTTCTTAAAGTAAGTTGTTTATTATTTTGTAAAGTGATCATTATTTGAATAATCTTCTTGCATACAACTATACTGAGAATTATATAATAACAATGAGCATCTTTGCTACAGATGATAAAAGCGAAAATACTTTTCATTTCATTGATAGTCCGAAACGTTTCTGTTTAGTTTTTTACTATATAGAACCAAATGTGAACTACTAATTACTAAAATACCAGATTTATCATTTATTCTATATAGTTATCACCTAATGTCGGATAAACAACACTTCCAAGTCGGGTATATCATACATACTAATAGTGAAGTATTAGCTCAATTGTGAGGTAGTAACTCACTAATGACAATGGTGGATGTGTCGCTCAATTTCGTGGATTAGTTGAGGTTAGACATTTACACCTTTGGATGCCGGTTCAGTGGTCTAGTTAGTTAGGCGCCTGCTCAATCGCGTGACTCACGGCTTTTCTATTCATAAGCTAAGCTGCCAAAAAATGTTTTCTATTTTTATATTTGTTTCAACTACTTCACTATATCTGTCAATCAAGTGTATTTACACTCCTACTGTACGGAACTGATACTACTACAGTTATCATCAAAAAGGTATAAGTATTGATAAACAGTTGTATACGTAAGACGCTCAATGTTCATTGGACGGAAACCATCAGCAACAGCTTACTGTGGAAGAGAACAATCCAGTTTCTATCTGAAAAGGAAATTAGGAAAAGATGTTGGAAGTGGATAGGACACACATTGAGGAAATCATCAAACTACATCACAAGGCCAGCACCAACTTGGAATCGTGAAGGGAAGCGGAGAAGAGGAAGATCAAATAAAACATTGCATCGGGAATTGTAAGCAGAAATGAAAAGGATGAATAGCAACTAGAAAAAACCAAAAAGGAGTGTCCAGGACAGAGTTGAACAGAGAGTGTTTGTGAGTGCCCTGTGCTCCTCCATCAGGTATAACAGGCGTAAGTAAGTATTGAAGAAATGAGAGGCGATTACTACAGAATCCATGCATTAAAGTTAATAAAAGAAAAAAAGATCATATGTGTTAAATTATCAATGTTTGAAAGCTTTTCAATACATACTTTCCAATTATTGTCATCCAGTGAAACTAATATGGAAAGAGAAAAAAAGGACATGAAGAATTTAGAAGAACACAAAGAGTGGATACGCTTGAGTCATCGCAAACGATTTTGAGCCATGTTATTCAAGATCTCTAACCATCGGTTGTTATCGTCTCGCGAATCCCAACCAGTTAGTCTACACCTACCAACATGGCTCAGTCCACTTATCAGTGACTTCAAAGATTTGTTCCATGTTTAGTTCTGGCCGCCCCTTGCTTTCTTCCCACCTACTCCTACACCATAAAACATCGCACGTCGGGCAGTCGGTAGTTGGGCATACGTACCACGTGTCCCAGCCGTCACAACTGGTGAAGTTTCACTAATTCATCAATTGATTTGCCATCCTTACCTAGTATCCATTTGCCAACAACTGTATTAATTACTCGATGGTCTCAGGATATACGAGCAATGCTTCGAAGACACCTATGATCGATAGATCATATATTAATTGGAAGGCCACTAAACAAATGCTTGATTTCAGTTTGGATATCTTCAACATTTTAAGTATATTCCAATAAGTTACAGTCATATTAGATAGTTGCATCTGATACTTCGTCAGAAATCGAAGTAATATTAACAACCAATATAACTCTATTTGTACATCTCAAACTACCAACAAACATCTAATGTATTTATTATTTTATCTGAACACATAAATATTGGTACAAGAGGGCAGCAAATATATATGCGCCACACAAAACATGTGTCGAAGGTGGGATTCGAACCCACGCCCACATCATGGAATGTAAACTTAGTTGTATCTAGTTGACAATAATCTGTTCAGAAATAAAGAAATGATTAACTATAACCTATTGAATGATTGAATTCACATAGTGCAACATGGAGAACATTATAAGGCACTGAAAACTTTGTTAGATTATAGCTAAGTAGAGACATTGAACATGTTGTTATGTACTGTTGGATACATATGATCATTTACATCATCAAATATTTCTTTTTTCCTTTTTCATTTATTATAGACTGGTTTAGATACATGGAATTTTGATGTATTTGGATTGAATGAAGCAAGCGAAAATCATGCATTGAAATTTGTTGCTTTTGAATTATTACATAAGTATAATCTTATTAATAAGTTCCAAGTAAGTTGGATTGATTTAAAGATAAAGTTTAGTAACTTAGTAACTTAAAGGGAACATCAGACTTATCTGACTACAGTTGTGAATGATGTAATTTGAGGGAATCTTTTTGTAGCTCTATATCTGATTCCAGTTTGATCATTTCTGATTGTTATCAAGGTATACATATCGGAATATATATATATATATCCTGACTATTCTCGTATATAATTATCGACTTAATCCGCGTTAGTGAATAACAGTATTAAAATAAATTAATTAAGAGAATGGATTTTGAATACGTATATTTTGTACAATCACTGATCTGGACAGGAGGATCAAAAGAAAGAAGTAAAACGAAATGATGGGTGATTGAGAAGGGATTTGAGCCAACTCCATTTAATCAAGATTTAATCAATACACACACAATCAGGGTCGATAAGTGAATAATCAATAAGGTCAAAACGTGACTCAAGAAGGAGAATGGATAAATTGGTCTATTTAGGAGGTAGAATTAGGTATATGGGCTTAATATAGCAACCGACTGTACAATCTCACAAACATGAGTTTCAATACGTCTCCGTTTCTTACTTCTTGATTGATCCTGACGATAGATATTGAGTGACCACCACTTAGATGTTGGCATTACAGGAATCGATATCTCACTAATATACATACTTTTCGCTGAATATTGCCAACAACCATAAAGTTTTTGCTTTGGCTTTTTTTGGAACTTGTACGAAGAAAGGTTGTAAACTTCATTAACGCACTGGAATAGGTTATGAGATTAACAGACATAATGATGATGATAGGAACAGATGTTCAAGCGGGCCGCTATCATCAATAATTAATCTTGACATTTGTCATAATTTATCAGAGATTTCTGCGAGACCATAGTTTATGGACGAACCAATCAGCTATAAAATAATGAGTCACGAATTTTGGCGCGAAATTCATGGATTCATTTGGCTAAATAGAGTTTTGGCATTATAGCTAATTTCAGTTTGTGATGAAAACCCTAAATGAAATTCCTTACCTTAACCATCAATTATAAATCATTATTCTAATTCCTCACACTGGTTTATAACCCCCCATTTGATCCTAGTTAGTAGGTAGTGTAGATCACCAGCGTAGATGATCTATGTCAAACGATTGGAGGCCTATTATAATTAGACGGAAATGGTGTGACGAACCAGCTAATGTCTAAGTCACACCTTGTGTTCAGCACCTTATATGCATTGCCCCATCGACGTATCAAGGTACTATAGATGTTTAGAAGACTGTACAGCACAGTGGACATTATTACACAAATATATTGGTTGAAGTAGATACCAGCGAAAGTAAGACCACCATTGTATGGGCCAGTCCATGGCGTATGATTAAGTGATGCGCGTCGGTCGTCCTTGACCCTGACAGGGATCGATTTATGATTCAATATTCAGTGACCCAACTGCCAAATCATTTGGCTAGGGCTTAGTGACATTTCACTGACCCTACAGTACACAATCTCAAGGTCATCCTGGTGTCATTCAAAGATCATTCATAAATTAGAGTCTCATTTATCTTGTAACTAGTAGAAGCTATTCAATAAGATCTTTGTTTTTTTAAATATCATTCTATTTCAGATAAATAGTACTGCATTAGAAAGTTTATTAATTCAACTTGAAACAGGCTATAGTAAATACAGTAATCCATATCATAATTTGGTTCATGCAGCTGATGTAATGCAAACATGTCATATGATCATTTTTATGAATGATCTTAGGGTAAGTGTTTGTTTTATGTTGAAAGAAAAAGAAAAGATAAAAGTTGTTTGATTGTTAGTAGAATACTTTTTTTGTCATAATTTAAATCATGAATTAATCTCTAGCTAATTTTGATGGAGTTTTGTTCTCCAAGCTGGATGGTTTGATCATGGAGTCTTCGTTGTTCTTCTGGACGATATCATCAGCCCAAACTTCAGGTAGAAGTGAAGTGTTCGGATTTCTCCACATAGGACTCACAGCTTGTCCAGTTGACCTCGATCTTGATTGGTTATTGTTGACCTTTAACTTCCTTATTTTGATTGTATCCACAATTGTCCATATGCATTGATATAAGCGAGGATACGTCATGGTGTTTGATTGCTAATTGATGTTCGTGCAGGTGAAGATGGAGGGGTCGTCCACTTTGTACGTTGTAGTGTTTTTCGTGGTTGGAACAATTTATTTTTGTAGATGATGTTCGGCATTTCTTTTCGTTTCGTCCATCGGTATGCATAGGATTGATTAAAGTGATTTTGCTTGTTTATGTGCTACACATATCTTAAATGGCTTCAATAATCTCGTTGTAGTTCCTGACATCTTTTATATATGGCAGGATGATCCGTTTGTTGGTTTCTGTACTTGATTTTGTTTCTGCTGATGCCTTGAGTTGATATTTTTTGGCATAGTTGATTGCGTAGCCGTTCTTGTTGATCTTCAAACTGTCATTTACGTCCTGGATTCTCCTGCTAGCCACTATTTTCGAAATTTAACTAGTCAGAAAATGAATTTCAAACTTCATTAACGAAAGAAACTTAGTTAATGATTATCATCAACTCATTTCCAAGTATCGAATTAACAAAAACATTATTCTATTCAAATCATTTCTTTATTTTGTTTTATTCTCGAAGTTGAAGTTAGACATAAACACCGTTGGCTACCGGCTCACTAGTCTAGAGGTTAAGCGTTTAATTTAATTAAAAAAACTATATTTTCTTTGTAACTATGCCAACGTCATTCAAAGTTATCCAGTTTTATTTCACTTATATAGACAAAGAGTTATCAATGAAAAAAAACGACACAAATGTATAATATCAGAAGTGGTTTTATGGATACTATAGCGATTTTAATAATTGAGATCATGAGTCAATTGAAGCTAGACCATTATGGAAAACCTGGAAGCACTGGACGGTTGTTTTGTCCTATTGTGAATCTCCCCAGGCCGATTTCGTGGATTAGTTGAAGTAAGACATTAATACTGTTGGATGTCGGCTCACTAGTCTAGAGATTAAGTGTTCGTGCGCGAGACTGACAGGTCTTGTGTTCGCATGTCTCGGGAGGCGGGATCGCGGATGCGCACTGCTGAGGAGTCCCATACTAGGACGAAACGGCCGTCCAGTGCTTCCAGGTTTTCCATGGTAGTCTAGCTTCAATTGACTCATGATTTCAGCTATTGAAATTTGTAAAAATCTCCACAAAACCCCCGCTGATAATAATAATCTGTTCACTCGTAATTGACTTCAAGAGGCATTTCCTGGAGTCCTAGTAAGAAGCCGTTACCAGTGGAGTTCAACTAGGTATGTTGTGAGATATCAACTTACTCTAAGACAATGGTGTACAGTAGCGCAGCTTCGTGGATTGGTTGAAGTTAGACATTAACAACGTTGAATGCCGACCAGCTCAGTGGTCTAATGGTTAAGCAGTCGCGCGCGAGACTCATAGGTCCTGGGGTTCGAATGTCTCGGGAGGCGTGATCATGGATGCACACTGCTGAGTAGTCCCATATCAGAACAAAATAGCCATCCAGTGCTTTCAGCTTATCCATGATGGTTTAACTTTCATTGACTTATGAATTCAATCATTAAAACAAAACAAAACAAAACAAAACAAACTATATTTTCGAATCCAATAGTTATATTGACGAGGACAAAAAAAAAGAAAACGAAACAGGATATCAATCAATAATTGTTATTTTTAACAGTCCACTCCTTAAAAAAAAATTAAAAAAATAAATGGGATCTATTTCCCTTTATTTATTTATTACCTTAGATATAAAAAAAATGTTTATTTATTTGTTTATAAAAAAGGACCACACCCATTTTTATTGTTAAAATGACAAATTGAAATAGTGAAAATTTATTGAATATTGAATCATTTTTCGAAAAACGAAAACAAAAAAAAGAAAAGAAAATGATGAAAAAGGCGTATTTCATTTATCGTCATCATCATCATCATTAACATCAGTACCTTCATAATGATTGTCGACTTTAACATCATCAGCATCATTATCATTGTTGTTGTGGTTGTTGTTAGAACATTTAAACAACATGAAGTATTATCATTCACTACAGATACATAATGGTGGGATAATGAACAAAATGCACATTACGTTTTGTAAAGTTTTGTTACTCTTCAGATTGAACATGAAAACAATATATAAGTATAGCAAATATCTATCTATCTATCTATCTATCTATCTATCTATCTATCTATCTATCTATCTATCTATCTATCTATCTATCTATCTATCTATCTATCTATCTATCTATCTATCTATCTATCTATCTATCTATCTATCTATCTATCTATCTATCTATCTATCTATCTATCTATCTATCTATCTATCTATCTATCTATCTATCTATCTATCTATCTATCTATCTATCTATCTATCTATCTATCTATCTATCTATCTATCTATCTATCTATCTATCTATCTATCTATCTATCTATCTATCTATCTATCTATCTATCTATCTATCTATCTATCTATCTATCTATCTATCTATCTATCTATCTATCTATCTATCTATCTATCTATCTATCTATCTATCTATCTATCTATCTATCTATCTATCTATCTATCTATCTATCTATCTATCTATCTATCTATCTATCTATCTATCTATCTATCTATCTATCTATCTATCTATCTATCTATCTATCTATCTATCTATCTATCTATCTATCTATCTATCTATCTATCTATCTATCTATCTATCTATCTATCTATCTATCTATCTATCTATCTATCTATCTATCTATCTATCTATCTATCTATCTATCTATCTATCTATCTATCTATCTATCTATCTATCTATCTATCTATCTATCTATCTATCTATCTATCTATCTATCTATCTATCTATCTATCTATCTATCTATCTATCTATCTATCTATCTATCTATCTATCTATCTATCTATCTATCTATCTATCTATCTATCTATCTATCTATCTATCTATCTATCTATCTATCTATCTATCTATCTATCTATCTATCTATCTATCTATCTATCTATCTATCTATCTATCTATCTATCTATCTATCTATCTATCTATCTATCTATCTATCTATCTATCTATCTATCTATCTATCTATCTATCTATCTATCTATCTATCTATCTATCTATCTATCTATCTATCTATCTATCTATCTATCTATCTATCTATCTATCTATCTATCTATCTATCTATCTATCTATCTATCTATCTATCTATCTATCTATCTATCTATCTATCTATCTATCTATCTATCTATCTATCTATGCACACATTTATCTATCTATCTATTTATTACCTAGTTTGACAGTTTCACTTTTAGCCAATGACCTATTTCTATTCATGACTGACTTGAAAAATTTTTATGCCTATTCCCGACCGACAATTAATTACTGACTAGTGCGATGTTCATCTGGTTTTTCACGGTTACAGTTAGTCAGTTACCTCAAGTCTGAACATTCACTTGGTTAACATGTAACAACTAACACAAAACCCATGTCCAAAGTTCTCAATTGGTCCTCTTTCAAAGCATAGTTCTTATTATGTTAAGCGGGTTAGATTGCTGATCATATTACAACTTAATAATTATTCATGAATAGTTTACTTCAAAAGTTTTCATAGTGTTACCTATGACGTAGTGAAAAATTATTTCCAATTATTTTACTTCTATTTTAATAAACATGTGGTTAATAGTGTTTCTAAACAATCGTCTTTGAACCAATCAATGCTAAATTAAAACTTCACTTTAATTTGAATAACCTGGTAGCATCACTAGACCCCATACGAACGTATCGATTCATATTTGAGTACATTTAATTTTTATTCCCGATACACAAGTTCTTCTTAAAAAAAATTTTCAGAATTAAGAGAAAAGTTTCAAAAGAGAATTATCAACATGTCTCTGTAATCTTGTGGGAATTGATGCTTCCTGTGGGATGCGATCCCATATTACTCAGCTTCACGGTCAGGAACTTTACCACTGAGCTATTTGAGCCACGACTGACCTCCTATAGGACTGAGTTGTATTTACAATTGATTGATCAATGAGTGGTGATCAATGTTATGTATGTGCAGATCGAATCCTAGCGGCCATATTGCAACTTGGTTGATAGGATTCGATCTGCACTAAGAAGAACTTGACATACATGACATTGATCACCATCCAGTGATCGATCAATTGTAAATATTTGGAATTATTGTTAAATTACAAGTAGAGATAGATAATGGTTAGCAGGGGGAAACTAGGATTCTGTTTTGTTCTATTTATGACTTGTCAGCTGGATTTAGCTAAATCCAAGAGTTGATATCAAGTGAACAACTCCAGTCTTTAACATCATTGGGAAAATTTAAGTGATTAATACAAATGAATCTTATACAATGAATTCGAAAAGAAATCGTTATTTCTTGTTAGAATTTATAGAAGAACAATGCTAGAATTATCATTAATTTACTCCTAATATAGATTGGATAACTAATGAACTAGTGAATGTTCTGAAAAATTGCTTAATTAATTACTTCAGTTATCCCTCATGAAGAAGAATAGGCCACCCACTAGCATTCTCCATCCAACTCTATCTTCAACAATCCTTCCCAGTTGCTATTGATCCTTTTCATATCTGCTTTCGATTCCCAACGCAATGTGTTCTTCTACCTTCCTCTTTTTCGTTCCCCTTCAGCATATCAACTAAGCACTTGCCTCGTGATGCAACTTGATGACTTCCTAAGTGTTATTATTATTTTATTATTTATTTTAACACATAGATATTGGTACATGGAGGCATCAAATATATATGCGCCACACAAATCTCATTCGATATGTGTGAAGGCTGTGATACTGCCCGCGTGCCCAAACCGAAACAGGTGGTTTTCTTAGGGGGCCACACCCAGAGCTTTCGACCTGAAGGTCTGATCCACAAAGCAGTGGAGCATCGTAAGGAGATGCAGTCCTATGGAAGCCGGTGACCAAAGATTGGTTCATACGCCATTTGTTCCCGCAGGATACTGGAGCCCATGGGCACCATTGATTTGGTTTAGGATCCAGTTAAAGCGCTGGACATTCGCTTTTCGTCTTCTCATATTCTTAAACAATACCCCCGACACGAGATGGCAGTGAGTAGGACTTCCCTGGCAGAGGCTATATACACGTGGTCATGTGAGAGCATTTCTAGAGGGAGAGCGGACTGACCTCACTCTCAACCGTACCAAAATCTTTTCCTAATATTTCCTCTTCAACTGGAAGTTGGTTTATTCTCTCTTTCTCACATTAGGCTATTGCTTATGGTATGTAATTATGTCATTAAAAAGGAAGTTTGTTACACTAAACCTATTTTGGATAATTAAACAATGTAGTGTAAATTACTAATATTTTAACTTTCTTTTGTCTATCTATTCCAATTTGTATTTTTAACCCAGCAGAATTGGTTAAATGATTTGGATGTATTTGCTGTATTATTCGCTGCAGTAATCCATGATTATGAACATACTGGTACAACTAATAATTTCCATATAGCCACACGGTAAGTTATTATATGAATACATATTTTAAAGTGAGGCTAACCAAATGGATTCGAACACAACATTACCGGGTTGATTCTCTTAACAAATTTATATATATAGTAGTTAGCTGATATGTAACTGCGTAGAGTAGGCAATGAGTTATAGTGGATTCGATGAAATCCTTATTAGGCCAGGTAAAAAGAATGATTAGCTCTATGTTGACATATGGTCATATGATAGATAAGATCAAATTATTTCGGGTGATTTATCGTATACATTGATCATTTCATAGTGCGGTTCGATCCTATCTCCTACATACAATTAAAGCTATAGGGATCCGAACTTTAGTTTAGATATTCAGCAGGAATTTACGACACCACTGTCCCTTGTTTGTTTGGAGAATGACTTGATGAACTATTTTACTATTTTTTGTCGTCCTCTTCCTTCCATTTACATTCTTCTCTATTTAGTCATTTACACACTTCTCATTATACAATTTTATTAATGTTTTGTGTTTGTTATTTTAAAGTCTATTTATCGCATATATCGAATTGTTGACTAGAACGCTTGTTATTTTATCATTCTTATCACTACTATTAGTACACTCAGCTTCTTTTCATGTCTTATGTGTAGTTATGTAATCTATTTGATTGTGATCCACTATTACATAAATGGTCTTATTTGGTTTAATATTGATGATGATGATCTAATTGGATTCGTTTATATTGTAGTGAACGAGAACACAAAAGTGGAACAACCAAATCTCTTAATAAACTCTGAGAACCATACAGTAAATACTTCATTTAACAAAATGTCAATGAATTGTCTCAAACTTGATTATTCTTTCATTTCGACAACAATCATTCTTTGTTGTCATTCTCTTTTCTTTGATCTTCATTAACCTTATGCCTTCAGACATTTCACCTTCGATTAATGATACATACTACTTATATCTAACGGTATCAGTAGCACACACCACAATACTACATATTCTGATATCTTCGTTAACATCTATGATTATATATATGAACTTATAAGGAAATCTATTAAGAAAAGTCTGAGTAACTTTAAGGTTTAAACATACCTTTATTGATTGGTTTGAGAAACATTCCAATCAATGATTTCAGAAAGTTTTACTGTTGGCATTTATTTTATGATTGTGATATAATGGTCATTTTAAATAGTCACATATACTTTTGGTTGTCCATACATGTTGATCAGATCAATTAATGATAATCATCATTCTGCAACCAGTTTGAGTATATAAAACTTTTCAATTAAAAAAACCCTTCTGATATTGATCAACATATGCTCACTAGTGACTGGCTTCAAGATGTATAGCCTGGAGTTCTGGTGAGAAGTAGTGACCAGTGGAGTTCAACTGGGTCAGTTGTGAGATAGTAACTCACTGAAGATATTGGTGGATGTGTCACTCAATTTCGTGGATTAGTTGAAGTTAGACATTAACACCGTTGGATGCCGGCTCAGTGGTCTAGTAGTTAAACACTCGCTCGCGCGCGAGACTGATAGGTCCTGGGTTCGATTCCCACAGGGCAGGGTCGTGGATGCACACTTCTGAGGAGTCCTACAATAGGAAGAAATGGTCGTCCAGTGCCTCCATGTGGTGCTTCTATGGTGACCCAGCTTCAAATGACTTATGATCTCATCTATTGGAATTTTATGTTTCGTTTATTAGTAATTCTTTTACAAGTTCTTAATTGTCAGTGTTAGTTACCGTAAGTTTATTACTACTTAGAACTCATAGAACTACAGACAAATATGTTCAAGGATTAATTTATCTGATGAAATCTATTATTAACAAGCATGTATACCACCTAGTCTCTAATCATTTATGATTACTTTGTAAACAAGTTTATAGTGTAACTCTTAAATGACATGATGTTATGGTAAAGGGCGTTTGATTTTGCGTGGTAGAAAATAAGTGGCTTGAGTAACTATCCTTATTAACCCTAACGTTTCCAAATGTATATGACTTTTTCTCTATAAACTCAAGTACTACAAAGCTATATACTCCTTCCTCCTCCTCTTCCTCCTCTTCCTCCTCCCCCCCTCTCTCTCACCAACATCATTCAGCTTAACAGTTAGACCTTCACATTTCTAATCTTCTGTTGTTTTCTTTTATCTCTTCTTTTAGTTCTGAATTAGCTTTAGTTTATAATGATCGTGGAGTATTAGAAAACCATCATGTTAGTGCAGTTTTTCGTTTAATGCAAGAAGAAGAATTTTCAATACTGACTGGACTAGAAGCTGATCAGTACAAGTAAGTTGAATAATTTTCTTTATAAGTAGTTTTGTAATTTATTTTAAACTATTTCAGTGATACAATTTCTAAATGGTAAATAAGTATTATCCTTAGTGGTCTAGACGTTAAGTCGTTCGCGTGCGAGACTGATAGGTCCTGAGTTCGAATCTCGCTAGACGGAATCATGAATGTGCACTATTGGGGAGTCCTACAATAGGACGAAACGGTTATCCAATGCTTCCAGGTTTTTCATGGTGGTCTAGCTTCGATTAACTCATGATCTCAACTATTAAATTATTATCCATAAGACTAAAATATGTATTTATGTCGAATAATGACACTGATGTAGTGGATACTAATATTATCGACATAAGTAGTATATAGCGCTCATCAGGAATAGAATACCTGGCAGCAGAAGGTTGAGAAGTTCGAAGAGGAATGAACGGGAACAAAAATTGATCGGTATGAAAATGCAGGAACAATGAGTTCTAAAACAACAAATGAACATTTTGCAACTGAAGTAATGGAGTATGGTTTTTCTATAACTCTTTCTACGGACTTCATACAATTTACCAAAAGTAGCAAAAAGTATGTTTAAGACTTCGTTATTGATTCATGATTAGTACTTAGAATGTAACCATCTTGTCATCAAAAATCTGCTAACCTATTCATTACCTTACAAGGATCATATAACGACATTTTTCGGCAGGTACCACTTACATATTATGATTTTTGTAGGATCGCTGATTATAGAGATCACTTACAGGATTATAAAACATTAGAAAATTGAAAGTTGAATCTGAAACCTGAAAGCTACTTTCAAAGCTTACAATCCATTATGTGACATACTGAAAGACGTTTATGCTATTGGTTTGTTGATGAAATCGAGACTTATTCTTTATATATAGTATTTTTCCTGTCAGTATCAATGTACTCAAATTGACGTTTAATACAATTATCTATATTAGTCATTACAAATAGATCTTCTGTTAATGATCTGTGATGAAACTGTAAGTATAGGAAACTGACAGAATATGAGTGTACCGTTTTGATTCTGGTAATCATTCTGAAATAATGAATAAGGTATCATAATCGACCACACACAGAACAGCAACCCAATCACACTTTATGGCAAAACTCTGCAAAATGTGGAATCCTTCACATAACTGGGAAACATCATCGATGAACGAGAAAGATCAGATGCAGACGTAAAGGCGAGGATTAGCAAAGCAAGGAAAGCATTCCTACATCTGAAGAACATATGGAACTCAAAACAACTGTCTATCGATCAATATCAAAGTGAGAATCTTCAATATGAACGCCAAGACAGTTCTACTATACGGAGTTGAAACGTGAAGAACTACTACAACTATCATTAAAAAGGTACAAGTATTTATAAATAGTTGTCTACTCAAAATACTCAACATCCATTAGCCGGATACTATCAGCAACAGCTTACTGTGGGAGAGAACAAACCAGCTTTTAGCTGAAGAGGAAATTAGGAAAAGACTCTGGAAGTGGATGGGACATACATTACGGAATCACCAGGCAAACCCTAACTTGGAATCCTCAAGGGAAATAAAAAAGAGGAAGGCCAAAGAACACATTAGGTCGGGAAATAGAAGCAGATATGAAAAGTATGAATAACAACTGGAAAGAGCTGGGAAGGATTGCCCAGGACATGGTTGGATAGAGAGTGCTGGTGGGTGGCCTATGCTCCTCCATAAGGGGTAACACGCGTCACTAAGTAAATATCATAATCAACCACTAGGAATATTGTCTGACATCACATATTAACTTACAAAAAATATAAATCAGAATCATGATAGGGAAATAGTACTATCAGTAAGTTAATGTATTTGTGTAATGACTGTGATGACCATTTATTCAGTCATTTTGTTATTATATTCAGAATGACAGATCATTTTCTAATTTTTTTAATTTGTTAGAGAATTCCGTCAACTTGTAATTGATATGGTTTTATGCACGGATATGTCATTACACTTCCAACAAATTAAAAATATGAAAACTATGATTTCAATGCCAGAAAGGTATGTCATATTATCCAGTACTAGTTAACATATGTTATTTTTTTAACTACTTATGTTATTTTAAGTAGTATAATTATTATAAAACATTTTTTGAAAGCAACGAGACAGCATGATATCACCACTTATAAACCTAACTATATTTTCAATCTTATTTTTAATGCACCAGTTGACTAAGAATTACATTCTATAAAATATGAAACTACCATATACATCTCAGAACTGTAAATTCTCTACACAAGAAGGTCATTAAAATATTACACAGCTTTTGAGACTGCTTTAGCCTATAAAACTAACAGTTCATAAGTTTACAAACATATGTACCTTCCATATTTATCTAAGGTATACTTAGTCAGATGATCGGAGAATAAATGTAAACGAATCTGAAAGAAAGAGTATACTTAAAGTTATAAATATGGATAATCTAATTCTGTTAAAAGCGAATGTCCTTAATGTCAAATCAATTGGTCAGTACTTCTTCAAATGTACAAAATAGGGAACTTGACTTTGTCATGTTTCATTCATTATTATAAACTTTTCTAATCATTATTGAATTGTATACTGTTATTCATTTTATTGAGATTTCGGATCAACATCTTGATCTTTATTATGAAATCTAAACAAATAAAGAACCATGAGAGATCATGGTAAGCATAATATATCACTAATGCAAAATACGGTCATTGATACTTTCAATTTCAGCTAATAAGAGATATAATGTAACATGAACCAGTATCATAGATTCATGAATGCCTCATCATCGTTATTGCTTACTATAAAATTTATAGTTGTAAGAGTTCTTCTCAAAGCTATCCGTTAGTGCCCAGATGAATATTATTAAAACATGTAGTTTTGTTGTGATTTGCTTTTAAATGGTCCTCCACTCACTGAAGGCTAATAGTGAATACTGTCTATGAATTTCCACACTCTTTGTGGGGGGGGTGTAGAGGTTATAAAGCTTTTTGCGTTTAAATCATGAAGTGATCTTAGTTACACCATCACTGAAAATCAGCAAAAACTAAATAGCTGTTTGACAAGAGAATTCTTAGTGGCAGTGTTCACTCATGACTCCATTACAAGAGATGGAAGATCGGTGTTTCACAGCAAGAGAGTCTCACGAGAGACCGAAGGTTCTATGTTCGATCCCCTAGTGGTGAGGTCGTTGACACACACACACACATACTGCTGAGTAGTTGCATACTAGGACGAAACCATTGTACAATGCTCCTCTGTTTTCAGTAGTTGTCTAATTAAGATGAGTCAGTGATATAAATTATGGGACCTAAAAACGGTTATGCCTATTTATTATAAATAAAAACAATCGGAACTACATATTATCATTATAAATGACATCCCAATGAATGCACTAATTATTCTTCTCTTTCTGTATCTCTTCTTACCAACTTAGTGTTGATAAAACAAAAGCATTATCTCTCATTGTTCATTGTGCGGATATTTCACATCCAGCAAAAGAATGGTCTCTTCATGAACAATGGTCTGATATACTGTGTGAAGAATTCTTTAGACAAGTTAGTTAAACTGAAGTCGTTTTATTATTATTATTATTATTATTATTATTATTATTATTATTATTCATTGTAATATCTTAGTCTAATTAGCTGCGTATATGGTGATATCAAGTGTTGTTAGAGCTACGAGTACAGTTGTCATTGCTCTTTTCCTTACACTATGGAAGAGTCCATCTTCATAAGGTACACATAAAGGAAACATGAAAGTATGACCTCACCATCCACGAGACAGCTAATTATAGGTGATTGTACACAGGACTTTCGTGAGTAGTCTCTGATATGTGTTAGTTCCATAGTACCTTTAGTGACGATAATCCATGGCAAAAAGTAGAGTGTGTTTTTTTAGGACTGACGTCGGCTAATCTTTTGTCCGAAATCTGCATTTCTATAGATACTGGTTGTTTGAGAGACATACCTTACTGCTGTCATACTTCAGTATAATAAACAATCCTACTTTGCCCTCATCTCTTTAGTTGATGCCTTTAATCTTACTATTTTCTTACTTCTCTTTCCGTAATATTTAGACCTAAAGCAATATGTCTTAACCAATATAACACGTTTGTGTCATTACAATAAAACAACTCTTACCACCAAATCAAGGCAGAAGCTATTTCTGAGAATCTGATAAGAACTTTTACTATTTTCCATAACTGAAGAAACTGAACTGTTTTGTGTAATTCAACATTTAAAAAAATGGATTTTACTGAACTAATCACAAGATTCATTTAGTATATACTACTTCCTCTGATAAGACTATAATTTATGGACGACCTATGAGCGACACTAGAATGACCTTGAGAGTATTCACCTACTAACTAGGATCAAATGACGATTGTAAACCAGTGTGGGGAATTAGATTTCAGGATTTTCATCACGAACTGATATTAGCTATAATGCTAAAACTTTATTTAACCAAATGAATGAGTGAATTTAGCGCCGAAATCCGAGATTTGTTATCGTATATCTGATTGGTTCGTCCATAAATTACAGTCTCACCGTTCTTCTTAAAAGGAATAATATAGTTGAGTAGTCTGTTGATCATATCGCCTTTTTGATGGAGTTTTTTTGTTCTCTGAGCTAGATGGTTTAGTCATGTACCCATTCAGATCAGAGGACAAAACTTCATCAAAATCATCCACTTAAGCTACAAATCTTCTCCACCATCTCATTATATCACCTCATTTCATAATATTGCATAAATCTAGAATCAAAACTCAATTTAAATTATAGCTAAGTAATAAACAAGCAAAGCTGATAATGATAGGAGTCTTTAAGAAACCATTGGGAAATTATATATAATCTATAAATTAGAATAATTAGTAATCGGTTCTTTAAGATAGATTATTTGAATGAGAAACTTTCTTGTGGATAATTTACTCCCACTTTATATCTGTTGATAGGAAATTAATCAGAAATACTTCATTCTTTCATTATCACCAATAAAGGTTATTATCATACTAGATCATCATGGAAAACCTGAAGGCATTAAACGGTTATTTCATCCTAGTATGGGTTCGAGTCCCATGTACGGGATTGTGGATGAGCACTGCTGAGGAGTTGCATACTAAGATAGAATGGCTTTCCAGTGGTTTAGCTTAAATTGACTCATGAATTCAACTATTAAATGACTACAATCTCCACATAACCCTCTTTCTGATAATAATCATATGCTCACCAGTCAATGGCTTTCATATGTATTTCGTGGAATTCAATTAAGAAGCCGTGACTAGTGAAGTTCAGCTGTGTCTGTTATGAGGCAGTTACTCACTGAAGAAAATGGTGGGCGGTCGCTCATTATCGTGAATTGGTTAAAGTTAGACATTAACACCGTTTTATGCTGGCTCAGCAGTCTAGAGGTTAAATGTTCGTACGCGATGCTGAAGGTCCTGGATTCGAATATCGCGTGTAAGATGGTGGATGTAGACTTCTGGTGAGTCCCATACTAGCACTAAACGGCCGTTCAGTGCTTCCATGTTTTTCATGGGGGGTTAGCTTAAATCGACTCATGAATTCAACTATTAAACTACTACAATCTCCGCATAACCCTTATTCTGACCATTATTACACATTAAACAGAATATGAAGTTAATCACTAGCTACTTCTCTATCTATCTATCTATCTATATATATATATATATATATATATATATATATATATATATATATATATATATATATATATATATATATATATATATATATATATATAATCACGTATTCTTTTAAAACTTTGTTTTCACTCAAAGGGTGATCGGGAACGCGAATTAAACCTTCCAATATCACCACTATGTGATCGTAATACAGTTGTTGTACCACAATCACAAATTGGTAAGCTGTTTCTATATAAACATAAATAATTCTATGATAAATCAAATAATCTATTGAATACCTTCATTTACCTTATTATTATTATTGCTATTATTATTAATATTATTATTATTAGTTTCCGCTAATCTAAGTGTAAATTTCATAGAGTTGTAGACAAAAATATTCTCAGAAGGGATTTTGTGGAGATTTTAGTAATTTCAATGGTTGAAATCATGGGTCAATTGAAGCTAGACCACCATGGAAAACCTGCAAGCAATGGACGGCCGTCTCGTTCTAGTATGGGACTCCTCCGTGGCAGCGCGTACTCAGGACCCCACCTCGTATGATTTGAACCCGGGACCTGTCGGTCTCGTCCGTGAGCGCTTTGCCATTAGACCATTGAGCCGGCATCCAACGGTGTTAATGTCTAACTTCAAATCTCACGGGGGCGGGGTCGTGGATGTGCACTGTTGAGGAGTCCAATACTAGGACGAGACGGCCGTCCAGTGCTTCCAGGTCTTCCATGGTGATCTAGCTACAATCGACTCCTGATTTCAACTATTGAAATTACAGAAATATTCATTTATATAGAATCAATTAGGTGAAGGAGTGAGTTGCTTTCTACATACCCCATCCATATGACAACGTTCTATGTCTAAATTTAAATAACCTGTCTACATATAATATTCCCTTAAAGTTCCAACTGTTCAGTGAGATTCTACTACTGAAATAAATCAAGAACAAAAGAACTACTTCTAGTTCTCTTTAAGCGAACTTCCCAAATACAGCTGATTATTGATAAGTTTTGCAAATTGAACGCTATACTCCCTTCCTAAGCTATTCCGTAACCCCCAAGCAAAAACTATACAGCGGCCTGAACATGAGAAGAGAGGTGGGAAATATGCGAGAAGTACTATACTCCACGGTTCATTTTAATACAGAAAATATAGGGTTTTTGTAATATTTTAAATGTCCTTGGGTTACTCGGAGATTCTGGAATGCCACTAAACATAGTAGCAGTATAGCAATTAGTCAATCAGAACCTCTACATGTGACGTTTCACTTCCTTGATGTTTTTGGCTATAGCTTCAAGTGAACGTTGATTGGATGAAATAGTTCTTAGTGTTTCCTGATCATTGCTTGTCTTTTTGATCACCCCAACAACTATCATTCAGCTAACTAGTAACTTTATAGAAGGTATCTTTATTGAATGTTAAAAAGTGTTCAAGCTTAATAAGAAAGACTATACTTTATTATGATTAGATTGGAACAATATAATATATGTGTTAAAGTATTCAGAATATTGATTCTTTCTGATCTCAGTTAAAAATTGGTTCCATTCTCGTTTGTTCAAAGCAAACTTTCCACTAAATAATCCCATAAATAAGGTATAAATTAATTAGGACTTCTTACGTGCATTATATTCATATTTGCAGTGAATGAGAATACAAATGGGGACAATCGAATGTATTCAAGAACAAAATTACAGAATCTCTTAGTCAAATTTGAGAACCGTACAGTAAATACTTCATTTACAAAATATTAATCAATCGTCTCAGACTTCATTGGGCCTTCGTTACCACACTAAACATTCTCTTTTCTTTGATTTTCTTAACCTTTTGCCTCCAAACATTTCACTATCGATTAATCATACAGACTACTTATATCTGTCGAAATCAGTAGCAAACACTACATTAAGATCATTATTTCATAACTGTGTTTTGTCAACAATTTTTTTTGTGTACAAAACCGATGAAGGTGAAGTAGAATTGATAAGGTGGTTTTGTAAAGAAACCAACAAGATCAACGGGGTATTTGTAGAAAAACATACTTTCATTTTAAGACAAGAAAATCGATCACGAACTTTTCACATCTCTGAAACATATAGAAATGGTGTATTCATTTAAGTTGTGTTGTTTTGTCAGTCAAGATAGTTGATTTAACAATTGTAAAGATCATTCTCATCATCTACCAAGATTCACATTGTTTCCATGATTATATGTATTTGACTCTTATTTAAGTAATATATATATATATATATTGTTTTTAAAATATTGTTCTGTTAGGTTTTATTGATTTCATTGTTGAACCAAGTTTCCAAGTTCTTGGTGATATGATTGAACGTATTGTTAATCCACCACAAACTGAAGGAGTTCTACCAACAGATCCAACAAGTCCTAAGCCTAAATCACCTGATCAAGAAACTGGTAAGTTTTGTTTCAATTCTATTCAATAAATTGCTTATATTAATAAAGACTTCAGAAGAATATGATGTAAGATCAGTGTATGGTATGATTTAGCTATATTTTTTCTATAATTCACAATTTTTCAACATATTACTAAATGACCAATAAATAAATCAATAAACAATCATGGGTGGTGGCTGGCAATCGAATCCAGAATGCACGTTTCGTCCTATTTCGGACTCTTCAGTTAAATGTGCCTGTAAATAATACCAAGTGAATTTAACTAAATGGATATTTTGTAGTGAATTAAAATGCACAATATCAGGTTTCATGTGACATCAGATTGATTTTCGTTTGAAAAAAAATATAGTGAAACTTGAGGAGATGACGTTGTCATAAAGTGATCATTGTTCACTTCTTATGAGACATTCTACTTTTACAACGTAAAGAGTCTTCTAGGTCTTTTTGAACGGAACCTTAGTAAACATGGTAGAGCAGGATAGGTAGTCATCCAATCAGAAATGTACCATATGATTCTTCATTTTCTAGATGTTTCTGAAAAAGTTCTATTCAGTGCTGTTTGAATATTCTGGATCTCTGCAACAATAAAATACCAATAACAACTGTAGATGCGATCAAATATTATCATATACGTAAGACGTTCGTAGATTAAGGTTTCAAATGAATACAGTAGACAATGAGAACTTCAACTTTGACTAAGTGAATTACCGACCTCCTTCAAAGTGTGTTTCGTTTATGATTTCTCACTTACAGTTTGACCTTGAGTGACCTGTAAGTACTGGTAAGTGGTCTGTTTAGATTCTTACACCTTATCATTACCATTAAGTACTTGTGGTTTAGATCCCGATGTAAGTTTTTTTCTTAGAGATATTCTATTTGATTGAAGTACCAACTCGTTTGTATTTAACCTATAAGACTGTTTCAAGTCTTGATAAACGCTATCTTAAAAAATAATTGGAAGATAATCAGAAATTCGAAATTTAGAAATCAAGATAAAGTATGGTAGTATGCTTAGTTCAACTGTTTTCCATTGTTTATCGTGTCTTCGGTTTCGACACTCCGAGGACATTTATAAGGCGACTGTAGAAAATACTGAAATCCCTGAAAAGTGTTAACGTTTGAATAAAGTTTTTTTAAATATTTTAATGATACTTTGTTTATTATTAATCCCATTTATTTTGAATATAAACTATTTATAGTTGGTGAACAAATAGTTCCACGTCCATGGGTTGATCATTTCAAAGAAAATAAAGAATCATGGTCAAAGAGACTTCCACCAAAAACTTAAGAAAATAGAAGAAGCAAATTCAGATGTAAAACTATTATTACTAACATTAACTTTATTCTTACTATCATTCCAAAAAAAGAACAACTTAGATAAAATACTTTCTTTAAGTCATTTACCATTGAGAAAACTACTACTACTACCACCAATACTAATACTACTATCACTACCATTACTAATACTACCACCACCACTACTACTACTACTACTAACAAGTGATACATATATGCTAACTTTCTACATACATCATATATTCCTCTGTGTTCGTTGAAACGATCAAAATGAAACGATTTTTTTTGTTGATAAGTTAAAACAAGAGAAAGAACTTTTAAATAGATTTAAGAATATACTTAGACAGATTTAAATGTCTTTTTTCTTCGTTGATTATTTCGTTTAATCAGTCTTATGAAATTTAATTGGATGTAACATATGAATAGTTTGCCAAATAATATAGAAAGTATAAACAATCGGAGGGATGACAATGAAGTTCTAGTCAAAGAATTGTATTTGTCTCATAAATTTACTAACCAGTTTCTATCCGCTCTAATTAAGATATATACCATATACATGTTTCACATAAACATGAAATACTAATTGGACTGGACCAAAAGATGATTGATAAGTACTAGATTATCGTATAGTTGCAGCTAGATCACTAGTGTTTATTCTTAGTTATGTTGAGGGAGAATCGATAAAGTATCTAAGATAGGATGAGATTGTAGTGACCTACTTTTATCAAGAGAACGCGATTAGTCAAATGGAAACAAGTATTATTATAACCAATTGTACCAGTGATTGTTTTACTGTACTTGTTTGTTTAACTGAACCAAAACACATACATTCTTCCGTTGCTTGTGACCTTGCACGGATTCGGTTAGGTTCAGTAACCACACTTCTAACCTGGCACGATCTTCGTACTCTTTCGATACCACGAGATCGCCAACAAATACATCTCGACTACAGCCATCAACTGCCTTCTGATATTTGGGGATGTTATCGGTTAACTGGCACGTAGTCTTCCTGTAGTGGTGATCATAGTCAACCACGACTCGACGCCACACTACAAGATCAATGTAACCATTTCAGTTGAAATAAAAATGAGAAGAATGCACTACTGATTATAATACGATCTTTCAAATCATGGTTTATTCATATGTTAGTGGAGACATCATGTTAAAGAAAATTATCGGCCGAAATGAAACTACTATGTATACGTAATAACTTTTGCTTGCTAGAGAATGAAAAACACTTTCCTAACTAATGAATCTAAATTAAAGCTACTGAAAGTTAACAGTAAATTATAAAACCGAAATATCATGGAGGATGAGATCCATTGCTGGGTTAGATTTTATGCAGTCGATATCAAATTGTATATGTCAAGATGTCTGTTTTCATGCATATAGCACTCTAGAGTACTCATCGTCTAGTTCTAAATATTGTGAATTCATATGATATCAAAATTACCAGTTTCATATTTAAGTTACCTTATTTTGTAAACCTTTGAATATTTTGTTGGTTCCTTGATGGTTATGAGGTTGCATGAACTATCTCTAGCTTATTTACTTACGCCTGGATGATGTGCATCGAGTTTTGTTATTTTGACTGAATATGGACACATTTTCACTATACTCCGAGCCATATGCTGTTGCATTGTTCCAGCTGTTCCCCTTGTAATAGACACGGATAAGTAAAAAGACAAGGTCCTAATTTGGAAATCCTTTACGTACACAATGGTTAGGAGTTACAATTAGGTCCAGAAAACATAATCAGTCCGGTAAGATTTACGGTCAACAACCAGCTACCATCTAACAAGACACGTAATCATTTTCACGCCGCAGCTTCAACTTTCGCACCAAAAACCTGTAGTCTAGTCGGTGATTACATACGAGGATTGGAGATATGTATATTTCGACATTAAACATTCGAAAGCTATCATTCATACGATCTACCTGGAGTCAAATCTCCGGGCTAATAAAAACCTCTTTCAAGAATCCTCACACCATCGGTTATCTGAAATATGCGCTTTCATAAGCTTCTGTAATTGACACCCAGCTTCACAATAACTGGTTCTGTATAACTGCAGTGTTTGAGTCATAAAACGTCTCAAAGCTATTAATCGGATGAAATATGTAGACATTTCGTATTACTTTTGATCTACATAAAGACAAAGTGCGATTGAAGTATCTTCTTGAGACACTTGTTCAAAGACCGGTTTTAGGCATCATTCCATACCCTCTCTTAGGAAATAGGGAGCAAACTTTTCCGTTTAATGGAAAAGAAATTATTGTTCCTGATTAATAAGATCTGATATCGATGAATTCCAAAAGCTGATAGTCTTATAAAAAGACATTATTAAAGACCTGCGGTATAAATTCTTAAAATTGACACGGGATTGAATCAGCGGCTTTATGGTCTAGTTACTGTACATCTTCATTACAAGAGAACTATAACGAGAAGAAAGTGAAAAATAATTGTAAAAACCTGTGAAACCCGACTAAATACCAAACTCTTGTGATAAGAAACCCAGGAAAATCATTCGCTAATTATCTAAGACGTGTTCAATATACTATTCCCTGGGTTGTCTTACAGGAAATCGAATTGGACAGAAGTACGCAAACTTATACGCTAACTAGTGACCCTTACTAATTCCAGTACCCACAAATAGACTAGTATTAAAGTCAGAGGGAAATTTCCGAGCACAATAAAACACTCTGTACATGGGATTCAAATTAAAACGGAATAATTTACAAGGGAACTATCGGTTAGCACGAACGTCACCGAACTGTCTTGGACATAAGAGGTCCAACTAAGCCGGATCCAACTACACTTGTCTTTACCGGACTAGCTTAGTAGTACGACATTTGCGTCCTCGTACATTTTGATTTATTACCTCGACCATTTGATATGTTTTGTGAAAGACTCTTCAAGGTTTTAGAACGTGACTCACACCACTGTGCTACCGACCAAAATGAAAGAAAGGAATCAGCCGAAAAATATTGTCTAGATCCTGTCAATGTAAAACCTAATCCATACTCAAATGATTTCGCTGCCAAACCAAACAACGATGATTCTATAACAGCTAGTCACTTCAACGAAGTTTCAGTAGTTACGTATATATAAACAAATCTACGCGTTCTAGTAAGCTCGTGAGGTTCACAAAATAATTTTAAAAAATACTGCATTTAAAATAAGTTTGTTGACAATTGACACCCAACTGTTGACTATCGGCGATTGAATGCAAAAACCATTACCAATCGTTACACGTTGCCTCACATTCATGATTTGACAGCTACCTTGAAAGGTACAACTGTCTTTTCGAAAGTCGACATGGTTAAAGCGTATAACCGAATCCCCATGACCAATGACGACATTCCGAAAAAATCCATCATAACTCCCTTCGGACATTTATCAGATTCGAATGGATACTCTTATCTCTTGACCTGCGTAGACCGTTTCACTCGACGGACAGAAGCAGTACCTATCAAAGACATCTCTGCTAAAACGGTGACCTGAGCCTTCGTCGAACGATGGGTAGCAAACTTCGGCTGCCCTTCAACCATCACTACAGACGTTAGTTTGAATCTGAACTTTTCCTTCATCTGACCACACTATTAGGAATTATTCGCCTACCACCCACAAGCAAACAGGATGCTAGAACGTTTTCACCGACAACTATAAGCTTCTATACTAGCTGAAAACGTTTCACAGTGGACCGACGCTCTTCCATTCGTCTTACTAGGTATTCGCAATGCAGTCAAAGCTGACATTGGATACACTGCGGCTCAACTCGTTTGTGGAACGACACTTCGACTTCCAAAAGAATTCGTGAATCCTTCATCTTCTTCAATGAACATGGATCTAACCTCCTACACGAACAGGCTTACAAACACAATGCGTTCAAATATACCTATTTCCACTCGACCACAATCAACAGATGTTTTCGTTCAACCTGACTTACAATATAGTACACACGTTTTCGTACTTCGAGACTCGCATCGACGACCTTTCGAATCAGCATACGAAGGACCTTCCAAAGTTCTTCAACATGAATCTAAGTACTATATAATTTATAAGAACGGAACAAACGATAGCATCAGCATCGATCGCCTCAAAGCAGCGTATTAAGACGAAAGTCTTATCAACGTCGATTTTTCTTCGGTACAATCGAGCGAAACGACTCCTACACTTATAATCCTTCATCCGACAACCAACACGCACGATGATCCTTCAAAAGTATCTGAAAATAAACTTAAAACAACGCGTTCTGGAAGAAAAGTAAGATTTCCAGAACTTTTAAGTGACCATTGCACGTAAGACACTAGTTAACATTTTGTTTCATCTCGATTTTCCATGGTATAATATAATATAAGAAAATCAATATTTAATATGCTTATAGATACATATATTTATTATTTGGCTAATACGTATATTAAAAAATTGCTTAAAAAGGAACAAAAAAACATTTTGTAAAATTCGCTTTTAGGTTATTTACATTTTTTCGTCCATTTTGTGTCTTAAAGCGCGCACGAGTTTATTTCGACATGCACTTACATATTCTTTTTTTTTCTTTTCCAGGACGGCTGGAAAGGATGATGAAAAGAACGATGAGGTTTACGATGAACCGAAAATTTCATTGTATATTATTTTTTTCCAGCATACTGTAGTTTATGGCTCCTTTTAGTAAGGGAAGACGACCAGACACTGCTAAGCATAGCAAGCTATCAGAAGAGCGTTTACCAGCAACAAAACACGTTGGGTTTAAACTTCTGGCTGGCCGCGTCTTAGGGTCATCGCTACCCCACTAGGAGGGATTGATCTGTAGCGGTAAATAAATCCTCAAAATAAACTGCTCTGTAAGTCCTCCACATTGGATGCTGACCACATTTTTAAATGAACTCACCTAGCTGAAGGCGCTCGGTCATGCATCCGCACCAGATCACGTGTGGTGACGCCGTGTTCAACAACCACTGCAATCGCTAGCCAGATTAGATCAGACGATTCTCGATATATTGATAGCGTATCAAATATATCTTCGAGCTTCCTCGCTTCTGCCTTTTGATTTCACATGGTGGGTACGCTTCGTATTAGAAGGTGTTACTGTTCAAAGGGTTGTCAAATTCCGAATACCTGTGGCATCTTCTGGATGTTGAGCGCGGCGTCCCCACTCGTGATCTGGTGCGGATGCATGACCGAGAGCCTTTAGCTAGATGA